GGACGCGGCGCCCCGAGCCCCGGCAGCGCCCGCCCTCCCTTCCGCGCCGCCCGCCAGCGCGCCAGCGCCCGCTCCGCCTTGACTTCAGTTCGGCTCCACCCCCGCGTGGCGGCGGCTCGCTCCGTCCGGACCCGCGCTCGGCACAAGCCTAGCCCGGGCGAGCGGCCGCCACCTGCCCGGCGCCGCCTCCCGCCCCACCGCGGCCCAAGTTGGATGGAGTTGGGGTCCTGAGCGCCTGCCCCCCGCAGCCCGCCAGCAGAGAGCCCCGCGCCGCCACCTCGCTCTGGGACCCCGTCTCGGCTCCTCTCCGCTCCCGCCATGGGAAAAGTTGGCGCCGGCCGCGGCTTCCCGGCCCGCCTGAGCGCGCTCCTCGCCGGCGCGGGGCTCTTGGTTCTCTGCGCCCCCGGCGCCTGCAGCAGCGGCTCTTGCTGCGCCCCACCGCACCCCAGCTCGACCTCGCGCGGGGCACCGACCTCTCGGGGCTTTTCTCGTCAGGGGCTGCCAGGCAGGGCTCCTGCCACGCCCCTGCCCCTCCTAGTGCGTCCCCTGTTCACGGTGGCCCCCGGGGACCGAGTGCTGTCCCTGGAGCGGGCCCGGGGCACTGGTGCGTCCGTGGCGGTCGCAGCACGCTCTGGCCGGAGGAGACGGAGCGAAGGGGACCAGGAGAAAGCAGAACGGAAAGAGGGCTCGAGTAGGAGCCCCCGGGGAGTGCTAAGAGACGGAGGGCAGCAGGAGCCTGGGACTCAGGAGCGGAACCCGGACAAAGCCACCCGCTTCCGGATGGAGGAGCTGAGACTGACCAGCACCACGTTTGCGCTGACGGGCGACTCAGCACACAACCAAGCCATGGTCCACTGGTCCGGCCACAACAGCAGCGTGAGTAGAATGGGACTGAGGGCAAAGGGATGATAGACGGAAAGGGTTAAAGTCGGCTGTGAGATCTGACAGAGAATTTGGGGAAATGGGGTTTCCAGACTTGGGCTTGGGAGACGCTGCAAACTGAAGTCTTCACTGCCCACTTCCCTCAGGAATTAATATGACCTACTAGGAGACCATCCTCCCCTCTGTCCCCCTACCAGCACCATCAGAGTCCTCTCCTAAGGCCAAAGCTTCAAACTGAGCAGGCAAATCCCTATTCCCTGTGGCTTTGGTGACATTGGTGTGTGGAACTGAAGACCGGATAAACACAGGGGTGGGTGAAAGTACCAGTGCAGAGATGAAAGGGTTAAATTTCCAGGCAGGGTGACATTCCCTCAAGTGACTTTCCCTTTACTTGCTAGACCTATGGACTGGCTCAAGTATGATCAAGAAGACATACATGTAGGCCTTTTATTTTATTTTTATGCAGAGCTCCTAACCCCTTCTTCCCCAGGAGGAAGGAGACTGCAGTGGAGGATAAGGTGTTCTTTAGTTCATTCTCTGTTTTAAGGGACCAAATGGATGCGAGTTTTAGGGCAGGAACTCTCCAGCATCTTCTAACGGCACTAGCCAGTGTGTTTGGAGAACTGGGGCTTTCCAGCCCGTGAATGAGCGGTTGTTCTCTCGCATGATCAGTTTTAGGAAGATCAGATATATCCCAGTGACAACAACTCCCTGTTCTCCCTCATTGCCTGACCTCCCCTAGTGAAGAGCACAAATAAAGACTTAACATTCCCTTTATGAAGGCAGGGAAGAGATTGCTTGATTCCAGGAGGCTGGATTCCAGGGGACTTAGGATGCAAGTCTGTGAGCTTTGGTCGTTTCAGGGAGGGTTTTAGATATTTGAATCTGAGGGAGCTATATTGAACCTAGAAACTTCAATGAGCTGAAATAGTAAAGAACTAGCTTTGATGATAATAGCTGAAGATGGTTTAAAAGTGTGGAAACTTCTCTAGGCAGCAGACAAGAAGAACATAAAAACCAAGGATGGGTAAACTGGAGGGGAATCCAAGTTACAGCTTTAATCAGGTAATTGAAATCGAAGTATTTGTAATATGCACAATCTATGCAGCCTGGTGCCTTTCAAAATGTTTTTGTTGTGATGTAATTGCCAGAAACCTTCCCAGAGAAGTACCACTTTAGTAAGTCGTGCTCACTGTCAGCTTTTTAATGAGAGCTGTGAACATTTTAAAATAATAGTCTGTCATTATGAATTCCTTGGGTACATAGATATAAACTGTATTAAGGCAAAGCATGGTAGATAATATTTTGTACTGACGTCTCTGTCCTAAGCGTACCAGCAGGATTTTCCCTACAATTCAGCCTTCATGACGGAGGCTGCGATTTTACGTTTCTCAGGAGTGGTTTGATCAAATAACTGAAGCCGAAATCCTTTCCACTCAAGTTCTGGAGACCCTTGCCCTCATTTCCTACGTTAACTGTTACATCTATCATATCATAGCCAGTAAAATTAATCCTCTAATTTGAACTCGAATCTCCTTAAACTGATCGAATAACTTTCACACTGCTCTAAGTGATTAACTCAAAGCTTCTGGCTTTAAGAGAAAATTTTAAACACATCGAACATGGTAGATCTTGTTGTATTGAGAAGTAAAAGACTTTGGACTCAAAATATTTCTGGCTTTTAATTTAATTCAAGCTGTAAAATATCACTCACCCATTAGACCTCTTTTTTTAGTTCATCTCTTGAAAGATCTTGGAAAGAGACAGAAAAAGAGAGTACATCTTTGGCAAATTTTAATTTCCATTTAAGAAGTGGTGCCAAGCACTTCTAGTCTTTTAAAAAATAAAATAAAATAAATGATGCTTATGAGTCCAGTAGGGCTTAATAGGGTCGGGGCTTAGGACATGAAAGGAGGTCGGAGATAATGCAGGAAATAATCAAAGTGGTGAGTGTTAAAGTTATGATTACTCAAATTATGTTAACCAATGAGATGGGATTTCTGCCCTCTGAAGTCTATTATTCCAAAAAGACCCCTCCTCCCCTTTTCTGTCCTGATCATCACTTTGAATAGTTTGTTTAATGTGTAGATACAGATAGTAGAGGAAGAGAAATAGTCATTATCCAGGTCCTCCCAAACAAAGCTAGTCTTACTTTTCTGGACCAGATTCAGGACAGACAAAGTTTAAAATGTTTTTTAAAAGGAAGGAAGGCAGAAAGAAACTTTTTTGGCAGTTTTGTGCAATGAGAAGGCAGAGTAGAGACCTGAATTCTAGTTCTGCTTATGTGCAATTTGACCGAGTCACATTGGTTGCCCCCTGAATGTGGATTTCCTCCTCTCTAAAGTAGGGGCAATGCCTGTCATATTCATTACAGAGAATTACAGGCCAGGATATACAGAAGAGGGAAGTGTGACTGTAAAGTCCTGTATACCTATTTGCAGCTCTCATAATACTTCACTTTCCCCCAGAGCGGGAAATGCATTAACCTAAACCTGAGGACAGGATGGGGGGCTCTCATATTTTCACATCGAAATGCCCTCCCCTACAAATCTGCCCTCCAACCCATTCAGGGCCACAGGCAACACAGATCCTCTAAACCTGTCTCACCTTTAGCTAAAAGCCTTTGCTAAGAAGAGCCTCTCATTACACTAACACCTGCATTCAAGGTGCAAATATATGATAATTATAGGCTGCCTGTCAAACTGATGAGGACTTCTGGGTGGTTCACTCAGCTCTTTCCCTTCTCTTTCCTGCCCCCTCAACTGTTGGACTTGTGCGGCTGTATAAAGACATGACTGTTTTGCCTCATCTGTGGGTGTGAAGTGATTCCTGTATGCTGCAGTCTCGCTTGATGGAAACTGTTGCTAGAGTTGGTAGAATACCTGGGGGGATCTTCTGGCATGAAAGGTGCTGGGTATGAATCATTTGTCATGAGCTTGGTGTCATAAGCAAGAACATATTGTTCCTACCCTACTCATCCCAGGCATGCTGTGCCCTGATCTAAATTTATGTAGTAATCCTCAGAGTGTTAAAATATATATTTGCCTTTATATGTATGCATAATGGTATATCTGTTTATTCCTTATTGCTAAGGAATTTCAAAGTGCTGCACTCATCAATCCTTATAAAATCCTACGTAGATAGTAGGTAGGTGACAAGTGTTAATATCAGCTTTTCACATTTTTATGCTAAAGCTAATTTGAATATTTCAATTCACCACTTTGCCCCTTTCTAACTGGCAATAGTGTTACAAGCTTTATTAACAGAGGCTTTACTTGATTTATATTTTGCCATTATGACATGGCAAATCATAATGCTGCATTTATGACAAAGCATGAAGGTCTGTTTGATTTCCGTGTACCTTTTTGCCTTTAGTTGTTCTGGGACTTGACATTTATTCTCCAACCTTAGTGAATAAATTGAGTCTCAGCCTGAGCCAGGTGTTCAGGGAGATGCCTTACACTCACTCAATTTTCACAAAAATGTTGTGAGTAGGAATTGCCATTCCATGGAGGAGGAAACTGAGGCTCTGGAAGGCTAAATGAATTGCCAAATAGATACAGGATGTCAGTGGCAAAGCAGAGACTGGCACCCAGAATGATCTGACTCCAAAGTATGGCTTGTCCTATGGACCTTAAGTAGCAGAGAAAAACCTTTTGGAATCCGTATTTTAAATAACCCTATTTGAGTTGATTTGTGATGGTGGTGGAGGAGGGCATACTCTTAGCCGGGAGCTCCATGTCCTTGTAGAAGGCAAAAACTTCAACATGTGCCTGTCACATTGCACTCTTTACCTTAAGTAGTGATTTGGTTGTTCTCTTATCCACCCACCTCTTCATCTTTAGTGAGACGTGGAACCTGCACCTGGTGATTCAGTGAGCAAAAAGTAACCTGCGATCAGTCAGCTTTCAGCTCTGTTCTTCGGGAATGGATCCCTCTTCTAACTTAATGACAAATCTGATCTGATAGAGAGGTTGGCTATGGAGCCTTGATTTGGCTATACATTTTGATACAGGTTTTTTTAACCTGACCGTCTTTCTTTTAAGTCAAATGATAAAAGATTTTAGCTTTCTCTAGCAAGCCCACATAATTCCTACTTTGTTATTTTATGTTATCAATGTGTACTAATGTGATGTGGTGTGGAAGGCAGTGGGTTTGGAAGCAAACAGATTTGAGTCTGAATCTTAGCTGTCCTGCTTATCAGCACAGTGCCTTGAGCAAGACACTTAAATTCGTTGAGCCTCAGTCTCCTTATGTGACACATGGGGATAGCATATCTTTTGTAGGTTTATTTTTTCCCTGAAGATTTGACATCATGTATACAAAGTGCCTTGTTTATAGTAAGTGCTTAATAAATGCTACTTTTTTTTTTTATTAGGTGAAGAAAGTGTTCACTGGGAATTAAGGATCCTGGGTTATAGTCCTTGCTGTATACAAAAAAATAGATATATCGTCATAGAATGTTGAAATGTTGTGGCCTCAATTTCATCCTCTGCAAAATTACACTAATAGACTAGAGCACTACTAAAATCCCTAACAGGCTGAAATTAATTCAATACTTTGTTCAACCTGTAGATATTGTGCATTTACTACATTTAAGTAAAGTGTACTGGAAGTGTTAGGGATGGAGAAATGACACAGTGACCTATACTCTTGACCTATAAGTGAGCAAACCTTTTATTTCAGAAGAGTCTTCCTTTTCCCACAGTTCATGCATAGCTATTTCTGGGAAATCAAGAAATTTGAGATCTAAGCAGGCATTCATTTCTATCTGGGCACACGGATTTGCAGCAAAACATAGTTTATTAAGTTTATTGTATCACATCTTCATGTTAAGGAACTTGCTGTCTTTGGACCAAAAAATAATAAAATAAAATAACATAAAATAAAATAAAATAAAAGCCTAATGTGAAATTGGAAAGTAAAACCTTTCTTAGATATCTAATGGGATTTTCTAGAGTAAATTGACATGGATGGTGACTTTGTGAACTACA